GTCTATAGGACATCTCCTCACCATGAGCTTCCAGATCTTGAGCCAGGTCATACTCCACCTCCCGAAGAGCCTCCTCTTCCTCGAGTGTAGGCCAGTCCTTGTCTGGGATCACCTCGAGCTGTTCGACCTCGTCCTATGGTGCCTCCTCCATGACCGGCCACGTGTATGCTCCAACCAGGAGGTACTTCTTGAGGTCGCCGTCAATGTCACGGCCGAGCACAAATGGTCCTGTCAGATCCAGCGACAGCACGCACGGAGCCGCTATCCCTTGAGCTCGATGTGGTCGATCCCTTGCCGCTGCTCTCTGACAGACAGCGCAGTCTCTGCGGAACGGCGCATGCCCCTGGGCCAGGTGTTCCTGCCAAGACAATGCCTTCATCGTCACCCGCCTCTTCTGGATGTTGACTGTGATGCTTCTTGCGATCTCTCGCATCATTCCTGGGGCCCATCTCGCCAGCTCGGAGCTCGACACCTCGTGCTTGGTCTTCAGGAAGGCCTTGGGCGGGCCCCGATCCTCGGGAACCATGAACTCCATGTTCAATGCCAGTGAGGTAGGTTTCACCGCCATACCACCATAGGCACCCTGGTTGAAGGTCACCATGTCCAAGTTGAGATGCTCTTTCATTACCCTCCACTCTTCGGTTCTCCAGAAGGATGCCACTTCCGGCATGTGCTGAGGCGCTGCAGGCTGCTCCATCAAGAACCTGACCGTCGGCAGCAACGCGGAATTCTTCTCCTGGGACAATCGTGCATCTCGACCCAGCTTTGCCACCACATAGAGCGTCACCATACGCAACAGCAGCACATCGTCCAAATGGCACTTTGCCCTCTCCACTTCATCCAACTCGTCCAAGCCCCAGGGCCTTCCCAACGATCTCGATGGCCCTGGTAGTCCCGTGACTGGATGATGTCGTAGTTCACTGCGGGTCCTGCAGTTGGGTCCACCAATCACCGCATCAATCCAGCCCAACATCGCAATCCGTAGCAGTGCTGCATACATTGCATCGTCCTTTGACATATCATGACTTTGGTTTCGAAGGATATCCACCTCCAACAATCTCGTAGTGTTTCCGCCAGCCTCCTTGAGAGCCCTTGTGAGATCGTAGCCCTCATTCTTCCCAGCGTAGAGATGAACCACCACACCCTCATTTCTCCAGCGCTTGCGGATGCGTCGATTGACTCCAAGGACCTCAAGATTCCTTGCTGGAGAGTCCACCAGGCGATCCTTGATTCGGATCGGGACCTTGTCGAAGATCGGACAATCTGCCACCACCCGGTCCAGCCAGTCGACGTCATTGTGAGTCTCCCCAAATCGGTAGCACCTCAACGCCGTTCTCGACCGAGATTCCTCCAGCTCCCTGATGAGGTCCAACGCAACATCATGGTCCATTTGAGGGCATCCCGCTTCAACCCTAAGGTCAATGTTGCCCTTGACCGGATGCTCCAAGGTGCACGCTTCCCCCATCCATTCGATTCGACATCCCAAATCGCGAACCAGCCTTCCCGCCGGTACAATCGGCTCCACATTCTCACTGTTGTGGACCAGCGTCTCCCCTTCTGTCATTCGGATGTCTTGTGCTCCTCCAGCAGCCAACGTCACCCTCACCTGGCGATATCTCTGAAGATCTTCTCCTCGGAGCTTGGGCCTCAGAGCGTGCGTTGCCCCAGAATCCAGAAGTCCTTCTCGACCTTGTTGGACTCGAGCTATCTTGACTGCCCGTAGTTCTGGGCCACCTTTCTCCCATGCTCGATTCAGCTTCTTCAACGTCGCACCAAGGTCCGTTGCACGATCTTGCCCTTCTTCTTCGAGGTTCATGCCCTTGAGCAACTTGTGCGCCTCATCAAGCACATTCTTGATTGGGTCTGCAGTTCTTGTCGCTGCATCCGATACCGCCTCCGAAGTCACCGACTGCGAGGATGCTGCTTGAGGAGAAATTGAAGCCCCCGACTCACTCCGCGAGGTCCCATTTCCACCACCACCGGTTTTGTCCAGCAGCTTCTGAAGCTTCGGTTTCTGGCCAGATGGCGGTCCTTCTCCCTTCTTTGCCGTCTCTTTCCTCGGACAGTCTCGAGCCAGGTGTTGTGTGGCGCCGCGCGTGAAGCACCTCCTCTCCTGGTTCTGCTTGTCGCCAGTCTCCAGTTGATGTGCCCATTTGCACGACTGCCCTCTTCGACATCCAGACTCCGTGAGGAAATATCGACAAGGACCCTTCGCCGATGTCGTTGGCGAGTCCCCCTTCTTCTCTCGATCTTCCCCTTGAAGTGCCTTTACTGCCAATGGTCCACCTCCCTGATTTCCAGGCCTCGTAGTGCTCGAAGAGGGTCGGACTCGGCGCATGAGTTGTTCAAGTTCAGCGAGCAAATGCTCAGCATACGTCCGAACAGTCTCCTCATTGGGGATGGTATCAAGCTGCAAGGTGTTTTTGACCAAGGCACATCTGAATTGCAGATCCGGTTGTTGAGTGAGGATCCGCTTGCTAAGTTTGTTGATGCCCTTCATGAGGATGATCGCATCAGGGAGATTCAGGCCAATGTCGGTGGCCCTCCTGAGCCAGCGCATCCAGCGTCGGAGCCCCATGCAGGCTTCGCTTGGCGACCCTGCTTCTGGCGGATCTTCAAGTTGCCGCAGGATGATGGTGCGCTCATGAGCACCACCTGGTTGATAGAGGACCATGAGTTTGCTCACCAGCCCCAGCGGTGACAAAGTCCTCGTTGCTACCAGTTCCTCCTTCACTGTCGCGGGAACTGAAGAAAGCAGCATGCTGATGGCCCTCTTCTCCACTCGAGCCCACTTCGGCTTTTGCAACTCAGCAGACGGCTCGATCTTGGATGATGCCCGCTGAATTGGACGAAGCTTGATGTACTGTTTGTACCAAGCCCTTGCTTCGCTCACCACCAACTCCCACCACTCGCCTGACGAGTCGCTAAGGTCTGTCATAGCCGGTTCCACCATAGTGAGCCAGTCAGCAAGGTCGATGGGAGCCGTATCGGATGGCTCTGCCAGGACTGGGAGTGTGGCCGTCCCCGGCTTGACCGACTCCGGTCCTTCTTGCTTCTTGTCCTTGTCGACCAGGTAGGTGATCAGCATAGACATCGCATCAGCCATGCCACCACCGCGCTCTCTTGATGGTTCCTCCCGAACATTTGCAGTTGAAGATCGACCAGGCTGCTCGGCTGTGGCTTTCTTCTTTGGCTGACCCACGCCTTTCCCGGTCCCTTGTCTCCCTTCCGGTTCGAAGCCCTTCGCCCGAGATGCCACCAAGCCCTCAGGTTGACCTCCTCCCTGACGTGCAGTTCTCGGACCTTGAGATCTCGACCTCTCTCGTTGTCCTTGCCCCCGACCACCTCGCTTTGCTGGCGCCGGAGTGACCGTCCCATCAAGGATTGGAGCTGCTCGAACTGTTGCATGGGAGTCAACTCATACAGCCGGCGTCTTTCCACCTCCAAATCTGTCTCTCTCGGAGGCTCGTCGACCGTCAATTCCAGCTGACGATTCACAGGCTCATCGCTTTCTGGCGTTCTAAAGGCCTGCTGCTCCAGCTCACGTTGTAGATCATGGACCTTGGTTTCCAGGCTTGCCCTCTGGTACTTCATGGCGTCCATGAGCTCTGCCTGCTGAATCTGCAGTTGTTGATTCTCCTGTTTCAACATCGCCAACATGGTCATCATCTCCTGTGGATTCGGCGGACCAGGGCCATAGGGATGCAGCTGAACTTGCCATCCTCCTTGATGCGGCATAGGTCCCCTCCTCTCTTCATGGGGCATGATGTACCCAGGTGGGCCAGTTTGTCCAAAGCCTCTCGGAACATGTAGACCTCTTCCTCCAGGCCCATTCCCTTGGATCTGAACCACCGATTGCTCTCTAGGTTGGGGAGGTTGTCGCCCATCGCTGTCACTTTCAGGCTCTTGTACTTCAGGTACCCGTGGTTCCCTTGTTCGTCCACGTCGCTGGTCATCTGGTACATGGTCGCCCACCAGTGCCGGCGATGGTGTCCCCGTCGTCGTGCTCGTCTGTGGAAGCACTCCCACTGAACCTTCTTCTTTCGGCAGGAACGTGGGTCTCTCTTTCTGCACCTCCTCTGGCGACCTGTTTCCCATTCCAGGCTGCCAAATGCTCTGCCTCGGGACTTGAGCATACAAGTGAGGAGCTTGGCTCTGCACTTCATGAAGTCCCTTCAGCTGTTCCGGCGTGAAGAGTGGGGTCATCGGTGTCAACGTGGTCGGCGGTCCCTTCGGACCTTCCATCTTCTCTTCCCCCTCTTCTTCACCATCTTCCAACGCCAGCTGCTCCTCTTCTAGCTGCCGCTCTTGTAGATGAAGTCCTCCCTGATCATCAGGGTCTTCTTCTCCACCTTCGCCTGGAGCTTGCCGGCGGCGCCTCGCCATCATGGCGGCTCGTGCGCAGGGCTGCCCGGCGATCCACCTCCTCAAGCCGGGACTTACACCTTCGACCTTGGGCTCATAACCTGCAAGGTTCAACGCTCCTATTTTCGAGCTTAAAAGCGGCTGTCGAGTGTACACTTCTCGTTTTGTGCGTTTCATCCTTTTGGACGTGCACAAACAATAATTTTAGCTGATGTTTGTAAGGTTTCCGTAAAGTTTGCCGCAAGGAGCCGCATCCGTAGATCATAGAGAGCAGTGTGGGTCAGTTGTGCACGGATGTAAGATATGATGATGTGGCCATGGGCCAATCATTCCATTAATCCCACCCGACCCCCCCAGGAGCCAGACGGCAGCTTCGAAAAACCACTAAGAAGTAGTTGCGGCCACAGGGGTGGGACGCGCGCTTCGCCACAGAGGCGTTGAGTGGACAAAAACGAATGTTCCACCCCGCAGTGCCGCAAGCGCCGGCTAGGCCAGGGGCGGCGGATATACAGTTTCTTTGCATTTATGAGCGCTTGCATTAGATCGTCGTCGTTGGACCGAAGTATGTGTGAAGAACGCGCATGTAGATACGTTTTAGATTTGGACCGTTTGCCGATTCCCGTTTGGTCTTCAAGGAACTGTTCTGCCGGATGCAAAGCTGGATGCAGCTCTGGATGGTGCGAAAGGGTTTCAACAGCCTTCGTGGGGGTTGAGTGTGTGCTGAGTGGTTCATGTTCAGATGCAATCCCACAAGATCCCACAAGTGCTTTGTGCTTGTTTGTGCAAATCATTATGTATACATGCGGGCTCCACGAGGAGAGGGCATCTACTTTGCGCCACCTTTTCAAAGGTCCACTTATCTAACTTTATTTGATGTCCCATGCTAGGAAGAAGACTCGCTGGCCTTACGGAATGGAGGTGAATATCCCTACCAGTTGAATATCCCTACCTGTCCTGATTGCTTTAGAAAAATAATGATCAGGAATGCCTGTTGCTGGCCCTTGCTTCTCCCATCAGGCAACAAACTTTTGTACTCCATACTATATACCAGCAGCTTCAGAACTCTTCTTGAAACCCAGTCAATAGTTTTCTCCAGATAATTGAAAAGTATAGGGGTTCTTACTTCTCAATGACTGGGTGGCTGATCAGCACTTTGGTCCACCGCTGCCGCTGCTGCGTTTTGTTTGCCGTTGCTGCCTTGTCCCCGAAAAGGTCTCAAAATACAGTTTCAAACTGCACTCAAGTGTCTCCCCGTACAGCCTACTGTAGGTATCTGGGGTCTATGCCAGTGCAATTTCTAGACCCTCCGACAAGAATGCCTGGCTTTGGGCCCGCGTAGCCTCCCTGCAGTTGTGCTGGATCCTCGAACTGTTCCGCGAGCTGTTCAGCTGGTGCATCCTGGTGCGATGGGCAGTTGGGGCCGATGGGCAGTTGGACACGGGCGTCTCAACATGCTGGTGGCAGCACCACATCAAAGTTTCATATATAATCTTTATATGGCTTACTACTGTATTAATGTCCATCGAACCGCGTAGCTTGAAACGCTCGAAGTTTTGTGTCAATTCAGATTTGCGAGCGCGTCCCTCCAGTTGTGCTGGCGGAAACAAGAGCTGCTCCGCTGGATGCCAAGCTAGCTGCGGGACTGGATGCGGCACTGGATGTGGCACTGGATGGCGCGCTTAGGGTTTTTTTGCTTCCTTCCATTTAGGAATTCAATGGTTTCCTCTTTCAATGTGAGCTTGGCTCTTGGTCTACACCTTGCATAGTGTCATTCATTAGACTTGTTGCTGTCCAGTTGCGCTGGTGGGTATGCAAAATGTGAACCTGCGTGCAAAGCTGACTGTGGCACTGGGTGGTGCGGAAGGCGCGCTTTGGATGACCCAAACAACGCAAGCAAGCAGAAGCAGTCAGGGAGTGTTGAAGAAAAACTATATGAACACAGCTTGCAAGACTTTGCCAAGCTGATTTGAGATTTCAAGAGCCCACACACACACACACAGAGCAAGTTGAGACTTTTTGATGTTGTTGGCAGTTGTGCCGGTGGCCATTGTGGTACCTGTGGCGGGTCGTGCTGGAGGCCGGAAGTGAGCAAGTGAGTATAGAGTTCCCACGGTTTGTCCAATTGGCCTAGTAGCGTCCTTGCTCCTAGTAGTAAGGCCAGGAGCCCCTAGTAGCATCCTTGCTCCTAGTAGTAAGGCCAGGAGCCCCTAGTAGCGTCCTTGTTCCTAGTAGTAAGGCATGTTTTTGTCCCCGACAAAATCTGGTCACAAGGCAGTTTTGTTGGCCTTACGGGCCTTACCCGTGCCTGCCTCTCTTGTCCCTTGCAGTTGTGGGGCCTGTGGTGCTTGCGGAGGTGGGACCTCGAAGCAACACCGAAAACTGGCTTTATGTAGAATCGATCTTGTATGAATGTATTCAGTGTTTGATAGAGATGAGACGCTCCCAGTTGAGTCCCACGCGGCTAGTGACGTTTCTCAGTAGCCCGAAGAAGCAGGTGGCTGCGAAGCCTGCTGGACTTGTGTGGTGGACATCTTCAATCCATGCGATGCAGGCGCATCGTGCCTTATTTTCCCATTTTTTTGCTTCTCAATTGCTGTGGGACAACGGGAGGCTTCGACGTGGACACTGCCCCAGAGCCACCGAAGCAGTTCAATCGCTACAAGCCCTTCTCCATGACGGCCTCATCAGCTCTATGGCACCAAACACACGGAAATCCCAAGAGCTTTGTCTCGAAAGTCGCCCACAAGACCGACAAATGCATTCTGTAACAAGAGTGGTGAGGAGTCGTTTTAGGACAAAACCACGAGCGTGCGAATAGTGCAAGCGCTTGTGGGGGCCTTCCTTGAAGAAGCGTGAGCTGTCCTGCGTCCATATGTAGTAGCTACCTCTTACTACTTGTTGGCTACCACCACTTATCGGCCGACCCTCCCAGGATTTAAAAAAGAAGAGTGGCAAATGTTAAGCCCAGGCTTTGCAGCTCCGAGGTCGGTTTCCCTTTCATTTGCCAATCGCGACGTGTGGAGAAAGACTGTGACTCAAACTTTGTGGACGGCTACAACGGTCAGGACATTGAAGTCGGCAACTTCCTTGGATGCATGGGACACTCTACTGTACTGTGCACACAGACCACGCCAATAGGAAGTTTCTTCTTTTTGTACGAATTTGTTTGATCCATGAAGAAAATTGTTGCAGGAACCCAATCCGGTGTACCGAGAGCCGATGAATGCACCACGCAACAGCAGCATTTTGCGATGCCGCGGCGAAGAGCAGCTTGTTTGAGTACTCATCAGCCAGCAAATTCAAATCCCGATCTCTTTTTCTTTCATGTTGGAACCGGGGATCCATGTTTTTTTTTGGCGCACGGCGACCATTCCAAACTGGAATGCGCTGCAATGGCCCAAGAAAGAGGTGCTGCTTTCGGGATGCGAATGAGGACGGGTTGCAGGCCAGGATTTGGTCTTCCCCAAAGAAACACCGAGTTCAAGCACTTTTGCATGTTCAAGTCCTGCCTGAGTTATGAACTTCATGACTCGAGCAGCAAACTCACCATAGAGACAAGTAGTGAGAGACCAACATCCTCCCTGTGACAGTTTGGGATTTCCCCTCCCGCTGTCTGACGCCAGTATCCCCCGAAAACTTACCAATTAAGAATAGTTGTGTCGATGTTGAAGGTCCTTCAGGCGAGCCGTCGACATCGAAAGCGAACTCGCCGTTGATCAACAGCATGCCGTCCCTGCAGCTCCCAAAAAAAATGGTGAAAGGATGGTTCTGGGGAGGATTTGTTGGCGTGTTGCTTGTTATGATTTTATGTTGGGGTTCAATGTGTGTTCGTTGGTTTTGATGTGTTCTGGGGAGTTGTTAGGGGTGGTTTAGGGTCTTAACTTTCACTTCATTGTTTGGATTGAATGAAGGGGATAAATTATCCAGTTTTTGCTGTGTAGTTTTGCCGGTGTTTACTGTATAGTTTTCCCGTTTTTTACTGTATAGTTTTGCCGGTTTTACTGTATAGTTTTCTCGTTTTTACTGTATAGTTTTGCCGGTGTTTACTGTATAGTTTTCCCGCTTTACTGTATAGTTTTGCCGGTTTTACTGTATAGTTTATAGTTTATATATAGGCGTGGCATGGTAGAATCAAGCCCTAAAGAGCCTATCCAAAAACATGCTAGAGCGAATGCCTAAGGGATAATTGTTGAGGCGGTCAGAGTTTCTATGTGTAGGTTCAGGTTCAAATTCTACCGAGCTGTTCTTCAAAGATGTCGAATTATTTTGCTTCAAATTCATGTACTATTTTGCTTCAAATTCATGTATTGATTGAGGTTAGGCGCCGTGGTTCCTGTTTGGTTTTCCATATCAAGCATCCTTCAATACAAAGCGGTATTTTTGTTTTCAACATGAATTGGCGCTTGAATGCAGGTATTCATATGAGCCACATTTAGGGTATGCCCCTCAAGTTCAAGATGGTGTGCCGTACTACTGCGCAACTTGGCAGGATTCTTCAAGTTTTTGTTGCTTTCACAGACTACAAATACTGATGCGCTAAGCAGGTCTTCGTATCGGCCGACATTTTGGTGAAGATGATGGAGTTTGAATGGATTGATGACCTCACTAGCGATGTCTTTGTGGCCAGCTTCATTTACTTTCCCAACGCAGACGCCATTTCTCTGACTCTTGCTTGTATGAATTTGGTTGATATCGGTTTGCATGACGCAATCACGTAAATTGCAGGAGATGTGCCGCTAGGTAGTTTGTGTTCTGCTGCTCTGAGGATGAGACTGAACTTCTTGTTCGCAGACACAGGGCGTATCCTCTCAGATGCCGTGATCGACACACACAGTGTGCTGCAGGACATCGAGTGTTTTTCTGAGTCTGCAAAGAACACGCCTTCCTATTGTGTTAAGCATATAGTAGCAAGGGCATCGCTACTAGTAGCAAGGGCATCGCTACTAGTAACAAGGGCATCGCATGCTTTCCAAACAAGCATATTGATCGAAGTACTAGGGAGTTCTTCTAGATCCACCAGAAGTTCCTTGCAGGACTCACCACGCTGGAACATCTATTTGGGTTTGATGATCCTTGGAAGAAAAGGTATGCAGGCCGCGCTTGAGTTTTGGAGCACCGAAAGGGTGCAAATATTCATTATATAATGTTCTAGATGAATGAAGCACTGCGCGCCCCAAGACTGCTGGATGCGTCAGAAGCTTACAACGTGTGACCATGTGTGACCTAAAGAAGCTGCAATGATGAGCTTGCTGGTCAAAACTTTGCAGTGTTGGATAGGGAAGCAGATGCTTGTTTCTCTGCTGGATGAAACCTATTGTCCAGCGCAGATTCATCCATCATATAACTCAGAACGAGAACAAATCATTCCTGGATGAGCACTCTGTTCGTTCAATTTGACACACATGGACAGTGGTAGGGTTGAGTTGAGCGGTCATTGTGATCGAAATGTCATTTTGCAAGTTCCCTACTGCTGTCGTATGGACACAACATGCGCTATTCTTCTCACAAACCAGGATGTTTCTGGCAGAGGGTTGGTTAATTTCATTGGCACATAGTACTGCTTGCCCCTTGCCAGCCCGAATCCAACTGAGCGATGGTTCTGATTTCCAGCAAACGTCCTGTTTCCATTTGTTTCCAACACTTTGTTTTGGAATAGCTCATTGCATAACTCAAAGCTTTAGCTAATCTTTCTCGGTTTGAGGCGACTTCATCGCTTGCTGATCCAAGGAGCACCTTCTTGGCGCTGGTGGGTGCAAGGATTTGCTGGGTCATTGTCAAATGCATTCGGGTTTGAAACTCAGCACGCGCAGCCACGCGCAGCCACGCGCAGCCACGCGCAGCCACGCGCAGAAGGTGCACCTGGTGAACAGTGGTGATCCTTCTTAGGTCAAAGAAAAGCGGAGGCTCACCTACGACAGCATCCTCATCCTGATGCTTCGCAACTACATTAGTAAACAAGAGATGACATCCGATTGACCTGAGCCATGGTTAATACTTCTGGTCTTTGGTGGGCTGGGCGTTGGGGACACTCACCAAACCCCTGCTTGCTGAAACTGCCTAACGATGGCCTCCACCCTAGTAGCGATGGCCTCCAACCTAGGAGCGATGGCCTCCACCCTAGCAGCGATGGCCTCCAACCGACTAGCGACCGGGCACTCTTTGCTTTTCGGTTTTCAGCTGAAGTTTGTTGAGGTGTTCCATGATTCGCTGGGCCTTGACCTTAGGCTTGGAGCCTATGGCATCACAGACTTCCTTATTCGAACAGTCAGTGAAGACACGACTCTTGGTGGCAAGTTCGGGCTTTCCTTATATAGGCAACGTGCGAGGAAACATGCCGAATCCAGCAGACCAACTAGGCACTAGATCGCACTTGCACATGCATTGAATGAAACCTAATTGATTGAAAGGACCATGAGTGGGCTTCTCTCTTTATTGTCTCAGATTCTGCAAGTTGTCCCTGAGCTGCATCAAGTGTTTGGCCTGTGCTTGAAATATTGAAGTACAAGCAGTTACCAGCGCTTTCAGCATCGTCAGCGTGATTTCAGCATCGTCAAGGATGACCCAACCAGCAGGGAGACCGTCGAGGCGGTGATCAATGGCTCCTTCAAGACCTTGAGCGTGATCAAGGCTACTGTCTATCAACAGGACCAGACGATAGATGATACAGTATAGGCGAGATAAGCCGTCAAGCTGTTTTCACGCAGATAGCTGGGAGTTGTATAAGGTGTTACTTCTAGTAGAAGCAGGCCCTGATCGCAACCTTTTGACTGGAACACCAACCCTGTTACTCGCTGTCCCCTGACCTCATCACATTCCAGTGGCGGTCTAGCCCAGCCTCTTTTTCCCCAAACAGTGTGGACACACTAGGGGTTCTTACGGTAATTCCCCAAACAGTGCGGGCACACTGAGGGGTTCTTACGGTAGGGGAAAGGCAGCTGATGCTTAGATCGCTGAAGCGCGCGGGCGTGTGCGGCTGATTCGTTGCTATTTACAGTACATTCATGCCTCTCGACATCGTCCAGGTGCATTTCGACTGCGCAGGCTCGCAAAGTCTGGGTGGCCGCAGTGGGTGATTCTAGCGACTGCGCTCTCGTTGTGGTGCCAAGCCTCGTGTTTTGGTGCTCCAAAGTCGACTTTTCGTGACAGGTGCAAGGGATCGGAGCTGCTTTACTTCGAAATGCAGTTTTCGTGGCAGGTGCAGCACTTTGGACATGGTGGTGATCGTCGAGGAGAGCAGATTTCGTGACAGGTGCAGTGAATCGTGACTTTGGGATATGTGGGTCGTTTGCAGACTTCGTGGCAGGCACAGCACTCTGTGACCCTCGATGTGCAGATTTCGTGGCAGGCACAGCAGTCTGTGACCCTCGAAGTGCAGATTTCATGGCAGGCACAGCGCTTGGTGAACCTCGAAGTGCAGATTTCGTGGCAGGCACAGCACTTCGTGAACCTCGAAGTACAGATTTCGTGGCAGGCACAGCACTTGGTGAGCCTCGAAGTGCAGATTTCGTGGCAGGCACAGCACTTGGTGAACCTCGAAGTACAGATTTCGTGGCAGGCACAGCACTTGGTGAACCTTCTCTCACTCTCACTCTCACTCTCACCCTCACCCTCACCCTCACTCTCACTCTCACTCTCACTCTCTCACTCTCTCACTCACTCACTCACTCACTCACTCACACTCACTCACACTCACTCACACTCACTCACACTCAC